AGACTCAAAGGCAGACCGAATATAACACATAGAACTCAAACAATAATCATCATCATCATCATCATAAACTAGAAAATGATAATAAACTAAAAGCGCTGGGTCACCGACCCAGGACCATGACAGTTTAGGACAACCACAATAAAAATCTCCAGCTGAATATCCACTACATTTTAAATTCAGGGTCATCAGTGTCACAGATCAAGAGGCAGTACATGCTGGACAGGCCATCAGTCTATTGTCGGGTAATCGCACAGAGACACTCACACTTGTAGCCAGTTTAGAATCATCAGGTAAACTAACGTGTGTGTCTTTGTATTGTGAAGAAGCTGGAGTTTCAACAGAGCACCCACTCAGGCGTGGGAAGAACATGCAAACTACACAAGAGAGTGGTTTCAAAACCAGGACCTTCTTGCTTCGTGGTGACAGTGCTAACCACTGCGCTGCTAAATAACATAATTCTGAATATTAAATGATGTAACCAGTCGATTTTTTATAGTTTTTTTTTAAGTTTTTGTTCAGATTTTGCAGGTGGTTTTTAATCCCAAACATCAAGCCATTATGTGCCCTGAACACTGAGTGACATAATCATAATAAAATCCTGAGTTGTAAGTCAGTGTAAAGCAGATGATGTTTTCATCTGGATGTGTTATTGAAAGAGGATATAGCCAGTTTTTAATAGTAAACAACGTCTGTCTGTCTTTTTTTTAAGTTTTCCTCAGCACTTCCTTGCTTCTTGTAATCAACAACATGTAACCACATCAGTTGAGGTGTTGTTTCATTTTTCAGGTAGACAGAAAAAATCTGAAACATCTCTTTTCTTTTTTTATTCTAACAGCAGCTATCTTTAAAAACATAGTATACACATTATTCAGAAACACAGTTCATGTAGAATTATTATGAAAACTTTCAGTATAAGCCAAATGATCTATTCCTGTTAGCAAAGGAAAGAAAGTTGCTAAATCTTAATCAGGGTTCCTTACAGGAAAGTCTCAAAGGCATATCTGTGCAGGTGCATGATTTTAAATCTTTCAGTGTTTATTTGAGACGCCTTGTTTATCAAATGTTGCTCATGCAGGCTTCGTTTATGAGATTATAAAAACCACAGCCAGTCGTCTCATCTGAGGCTTACAATGCTGGCATGATCTCATTGCAAATGTTGTATGTGTTTGTGGTCGAAAGGGGGTGTAAACATTTTTTAGCTGCTCACCGTTATTTTGCAGTACTGCTTGAAGTGGGGCAAAAACAAAAAAAAGAAAGAAAAAAAAGTGATGGCTACTGTGACACTACTGTGCATGTACTTACGTTCATACTCATTTTATATTTGTTTTTGCAATTAGTAACATTAATATTTGAATGAAATGCATTTATTTGCCGTTTTTGCCTTGAAACCTCTTTCATTAAAACTCTTTAAAGAAACTATGATCCAAGCCAAAACAAGGGACAACTACAGGAAAAATAAAGTAAAAATAAAAACTAATATTAAGTGTAAATCCAGCATAATTGAAAGAATAAGTAGAAAGTTGTGTTGAGTAATCAATCAATCTGATACTTGCAGAAGTTACATAAATGGCCTTTTTGTGAAGACTGAAACATTAACCAAAAATATTTTGAAGATTGCACTCACGGACCAACAGCCACAATAGTTCTAGTTAGCTTTGATGTCAGCATTAAAATACAACACCACTGTTTTATTATTATATTTTCTTTTCTTACAATGACTTAACGGCTCAAGAATAAACTTACTTTTAATTTTAAAAACGAACAGAAACATTCACACGGCATAGGGCACGACTGTTTTAGCCCATAGGGGTTTTGTAACAAGTGCAGGGGAAAGAACTGCAATAATGCTATGAGAACACTGCAAGTTCATAGTCACGCCAACACTAGAAAGAGAAACTGGCAGTTCAAACGTAAGAAAGGTTTGATAAAAACCAAGTGCCAAGGTCTCACCTTTCAATTTGCGTGTGCTTGACTGGCAGAATGACGACTAAGTCATTTCCTTACCCGAAGAGTTTGAGCTTTAACATTTGCATTTCTTCCATAGATTTTCTGCTGTGAATGTAGAAGTGTCAGAATTAAATCAGTTGGGGGTAGATATCAGGTAGCAGACATTGCCTGTAAAAGTTATTTTATGATTTTCTTTTATAGTTGTGTCATATAAAAGTGATACATTGCAAAATGTTCACAGCTTTTAACTGAAGCGTAGACAAAATAATCTGATAACATTTCGTATTTGAAATGTATTTTAGTTTTGGGTTAGAGATAAAATCTGGCTGTGTGAAAATAGCATTTAGTTAGCGTTAACCTCACAGGTTAAGTCCACGTGACTTTTAGCATTAACAACAACATGGGCTGCACTGAATTAATTGCATTTAAGAAAAAATTATTTGCAAATAAAGTTTAATCTTTGAAGAAAACATTTTTCCATCATTAGCATGCTTTAGCATTTGTATGCTGACTTCATAGGCGAAGTGTGAGAAGCATCTCCTGTTACCCACACGACCCATGCCATCTTTAAAAATAAGACAACAAAAAAGGGAATGAATCATTATATATTTTCAAGAACACATGTCATCTTTGTGAAACATTTCACATTTAGTCAGTTAAGAAAAATATTATGACTAAGTGTCCCAGAGCTGTTCGTTGAGCCCGAGAGCTGCAGCACTTGGCACCTCTGGTTCCCTCTTTGCACATCGTCTGTGATTATCTGCAAACATTTCATCAAAGCAACCTGTGCAATAAATGCAAAAACAAGTTTAACTGAAATGACTTTGGCAAACTGGTGCAACAAAAAAAAAAAAAAAAACCCAAACCAAAAAACACAGAAATAACTGCATATTAACGTAAAGGGTTTGGATTTTGACTGTTTTTAGATCGGAAACCACCTAAACATGATTCACTCACAGTATATATACACCTATTTTTTAGTAAAGACCATTATTTATATCAGGCAACATACATGTCCACTGTGTCTATATATTTGAATAGAATAGACTAATGTTTCTCAAGTGTGCGCTCCACACACAAGATACAGCTAACAGCTGTGATTTTTATATGCCAGAAACAGCAGGTAAAATATTTGTGCCAGCATTATAACCAAAGCTGGTAAGATATATCTAAAAGCAGGAAAGGGGAATTTGTGACTTCCCTATTCTCACAGCCAGCACTGAGTCTGTTTTTTCACATGATTCAAATCACTCATACAACTGAAAAACAAGTGGGCAAGCATGAACATTTGAACTTTCACACACCTGACGTCCCCTTTGCCATCATGCGAATGCATTTGACTTCTGAGAAACTGCATTTGGGGCACTTTATTTCTGAGTTGGGGTCAAAAGGGTGTGTGTGTGTGTGTGTGTGTGTGTGTGTGTGTGTGTGTGTGTGTGTGTGTGTGTGTGTGTGTGAGTGAGTGTGTACGTTTGTGTGTATATGTATGCATGTGTGTGTGTGTGGGTGGGTGAGGGGATACAATGCAAATGTAAATGTAAAACGATTGTAATATGTAATATGCAACTTTTAAACATTTGTGTTACAGATAACCTGACCTCTCCACCACACATGAACATAAATAAGTAAAAGAAAATTTGAAAAAAATAAGAAAAAGGAAAAAGCAACCCCCACTCACTCAACAAAACCAAACTGTTGCTTCCTGTTGCAATTTTCTGTGTTGGTTGACCTCGGGTTGCCAGCTCAGTGCCTCCTTATATGTGTCAGCGCACTTTTTTCTCATGTTCACCTTCTCATCTCTGTTCGGTTTCTGTTGCAGTTCACATGGAGATCACTGACCCTATACTTCATATTTTAGTGAGAATCCCACATCACTTCTGTTTTTTTAAAAATTTATTTTATATATTATCACCTATTTGGGCTCCATGAAAAAGAAGATATTGATTCATATCAGTGCTAAAATGATAAAACTGTTTAGGTAGAGTTAAAAGACAAAGTATAACATAACAAGACAAGGAAGTTGGGTCCCTTGTAAGACCCTAAGCTTCACACCTAGCAGAACTATGCTGCTCTGCTGCAATTAGAGAAGTATTGTTTGTTCACATTTTAATGCAGTTGTGTAATTTCTTTGTGCCAAAATATGCATTATCATTGTAGGTTAAAAACCCCCAAACCAAAACAAAGCCAGCTTTAATAAACGTGTGAGAAATAATGTGTGAAAACACACACTTCCTCTGTAAGGACAAGACAAACTTTTACTCTACAGTGAACTCATCTCTCAGAACCTTCACAGACATCTCTTATTTATCTACTCTTCATTAGTGAACTGGCTCAACTGAAATTGTACGGCTGTGACTTATATTAGTTATTATTGTTATTTTTAGTGTTATGTAATTAACTGTGAAAATTAAATAAAACTCTGGGGAGAGTTTTTTTAATAAAAGTTTTCAGTGTGCAGCCTTTTATGTTGATGACAAATTTTTTGTTGAGTTTTAATTAAGTTACGAAATACATCTGCAGATCATTATATTTTAATTTAATTTAATTTTGGTTTAATTTTATATTTAAATTAAACCAGAATAATAAATTATGTCATTTAGCGCTATTAACCATAACTACTGTAACTACTGTAATTAAGTGTAACTGTAACTAAATTTAACTACTGTTTTTAGCAGATTTTTAGTCATAGTATCAATTCATCACAGAAATCTGAGGCTTTATTAAAGAGGATTCAGTTTTAAGTCCCACAACATTTTTGTTCAGATTGTATTTATTAACTGCAACCATATTATGCAAATATAGAAAATAATTCTAATAGTGATAAAAATGATACACAGAAGACACAGAATATTTTTTGATTTTCATTTTCCACTTTTCCAAATGATCTGTTCAGCTACAAATGTTAAATGTTATTTACATTTCTAAATTAATGCAACTGTAGGATATTGTCTGTTAATGCTAAATATTTACAACATTAAACTGTTAGCAGTCGGACGTACCGCCCACGGGACATTGGATGGTTTAGGGGACTAATAGGACTGCTAAGGGGTTAATGCATTTCATACAAAGCAGATATTATGGGAAAATTGCAATTTAAGAAAAATCCATATCATACTTTTCCAAGTAATATATGCATGCTTGATATGTTAAATACAATAAAAGGCCAAAAACAAATTTGAAAGTATATTATCATAAAAATCAAAAAACAAAACATATAATGATGCACAAACAAGATGTTAAATTGATCTTAAGGGTGGCAGTAACATTATTACTTTAACACCTCCAGAGTTCACCATATCAATCTTCCTCCTACTAAACCATTTGAGTTTGACTTCTCCCACCAGTTGTTCCATTGCTCTCTGAAGTGTAGCCGTTGGTGAATGAAGCTGAAGAGTTGAAGCTCTGCAGCATCTTTGACTTTCCCAAGCAGGTTTTGTACATCATCTCAGCACGTCGTCTGAAGTGATGGTCCAAGAAAAAGTAAATGGCTGGATTCACGCAGCTGTTGAGGAATGCCAGGCAGCAGGAGATGATGAGCCCGTTTTTAAGTTGTGAGTTAACTTCACAGCTGGTTTCAACGTCTGCGAGACGTAAAATAACTGTGATGGATTTAAAAACATTGTAGGGGAGCCAGGACACCACAAAGGCCACTATGATGCAGAGGACCATCTTCAGGGAGTGCTTGCGGCGCGCTTCAGCACGAGGATTTCCCGCAGCAGCACAGTGCTTGTTGAGGTGCATGATGATGGTGCCATAGCAGAGCATAATGATAAACACTGGGAAGATAAAGGTGAGTAAGGCCATGACCAGGCTTATTCCAAGAAAAAAAGGTGAACTTTGATCTTCTGTACAGAAATTGCCATCTTTCTCTACTTTCCGGTACACCAGAGATGGGATGCCAAGCACCAAGGAGCTTGCCCACACTGCAAGACAAGTGGCACGAATGCACAAACTACTCCTGAGGTACCTCGAATCCATCAGCTTCACAACAGCCAGGTAGCGATCAACACTCATGCAGGTAAGGAAGAAGATATTGGAGAAGCGGTTCACAGCAATCATGTAGCTGCTCATCTTGCAGAGAAAGTTGCTAAATTGCCCAAAGTTCCAGTAATTTTTCTTCATTGCAGAAATGGCCCACAGTGGCAGCGTCAGGACAAAGACGAGGTCAGCCAGGGCCAAGTTGACAACAAAGGTGTCCACGAGACGACCACCTCTCTTCTTGTTTCCCACCACTAGGATCACAAGGAGGTTGCCCACAAATCCTGTGAAAAATATCAGGAAATAAATTGTAGGCAAAAAATATTCTGAGCCATTAAGGGTTTGTTCACACTCTTCCTGGAGATCATAAAGCGAAAAATTGTCAGTGTAGTTCTCAGAAATGTACAAATAGTCTACAGGAGTTGTGTATCCGTCCATTCTGGAAGATCACACAGAGGCTCTGTAGTGCAGCCGTTGTATTGTGGCAGAGTGGTTAATCTAACCATGTCAGCATGCAGCTGCTTGATATTACAAGTGCTAACCACAGAGAATCCTATTTCAGCTCTCTTCCTCTCACTTTACTGTGCTGTGTCTCCGTCTCTCCGTCTCTCCGTCTGCCAAAAACAAACAAACAAAAAAACTTGACACACATTAATCAAACTTGCTATACAATAACGTGATGTTCCAATATTACAGTGCATTATTATGGGTACAGCAGATTGTATGAGTGCAAAACTTTTGCATTTAAAGTATAGAACTCCTACAAATGTTTTCCTTCTGAAAAACTTTGAAGTCTTATACATATTTATGCAACTTTCTACTCTAGATTGTTATACGATGGTGCCTATATTCATAAAAAAGGACAGATTTCACTTTTAAATTGCTTTACATGAGCGCATTTTCTTTTTCCTTTATCAAAGAAATTGTGTATTGATGTGCCACACCAGTAGGGGGCAGTTTGATACTGTATGTGGTGACCTCCCACTTAATGTCAGGGGCTGTGATTCCTGAGAAAATGCCACTGATCTACTTCAAAGCAGCGCTGCTGAAACAGACAGGATATACACTGTTTGGTTCTTGTTTCTATGCTTTTTCCTGTCAGACTTGATATTTGAACTGCTGATCTCACCTCTGTTTTATTTTGTTTTATAGAGAAAGTAAGCTTTCCATTACTTAAAATTCAGCGGTGCATTCATCTTTGTTTGTGCAGGTTTTTGCGGATCTTAACCTGCTTACACCTGCCTGCACGACTCTTACTATTTAAGTCCAAATCTTTCATTAAACAGTATAGTGATCATGATTTCAGTTATGCTGTGTTCAGACAATGTGACTGCATAAGTGCACACATTTGTAATTGTGTGACAGCATATTATACTGTTGAATTTTAGGAAGCAGCTGACCTACATGTCTGAACTTAGATATAGAAGTTCTTCATTGTACAACTGTAAACACATTTGTGTGAAACCCTCAGAGTGCCAAGGAAATGTATATGACCAAAACCTCAAAACCAAAAAAAAGAAGAAGAACAAAAACGAAAACATGTATCTCGCGAACCAGAGATATACTCGGTTACGCCTGAATACCAACAGAGTCAGCAGAGGATATTAGTCATAAAACCAAGCAGACACTAAAGAGATGTGTGTACATTGTGCACAGATGTTTCCACGCATAACCACAAAAAACGACCATGAGCAACACTGAAAATCACTTTTGTCAAATAAATGGACTTCAGAGTTTGATTTTGGAATTTGAGTGGACCCTTGTTACAGGAAAGGAAACTGTCATCACGACTACCTCGACCACGACAGGGCAGACCAAAGGTGAAACGAAGTCCCTGGTCTGGCTCGTTGCTGTTGTGTTAGAGCCAGAAAAAGTGAGGCTGGCCACATGTTATAGGAGCCTGGAGAACGTGTCATTGTTCTGCGGAGAGTTTCAGTTAAGAAAGCGCAGTGAGTGAATGACCTTCTTATGGGATCCCTGCTCCACTTTCTAGCATTGTACATTATTCAAACACTCCTTCACTTTGTAGTGTCAAGGTGATGTGTGGATATACTCATCACGGCAGAAAATCCTGTCAGTGCTCATTGTTTGGTTCGACGTTGTTCTCCCTCACACTCAGCTGTACCTTTTCCATGGAAAAGTTTTAATTATTTCTCCTGCATTCTTGCTGCTCTGTCAGTGGAACGCTACATTCCTCTCCTCGAATAAGTGCTGTCTCACTCCAATTGAGCAGAGTAAATGTGAGAGCCAGTGAATGGAGCAGCCTCAATAGGAGAAAATAAACAATTGCATTGGTCCATGGGTGCAGCGGGGGAGAGCGGATGAGAGGAAGGGAGAAAGGCCTCCCTAACGTGCTAAGATTCCCATGGATACTCAGTCCTTTTTCTGTTTGGAGGAGGATCTCGTAAAGTACTTCAACAGCGGATGATTTCTCTTTTCCTTTTACTCTGTTTTTATTCGAGGAGAGAAAGGGTGGTATGTGTCAGGGTGATTGTTAGACATGGTGGTGGTGGTGGGGGGTCACATGCACACACGTGCGCTCTTGTACACACACACACACACACACACACACACACACACACACACACACACACACACAGATGTACAATTTGCTCCTCATTTGTCAAGTGTTAAGTTTAAGAAGGGAGTCCATTGTTTGGGTGTGAAAGGTTCCTGTTTTAGCAGTTTAACTGAATCAAAAGTTCCCCCAACACAAAGGGTTGCGCAGCCCCAGTGCTCTATTTTACCTGATCCCTGATGTCTGAAATACTCCACAGTTTTAAGCCACTTTTTGTCTCATTTACATACAAAACCAAATGATGCAAAACGCAGAATAACACCTGAATGCTCACATGTACGTGATTACGTAGATTTAAAGTGTGGGGGATAAATGAGTCAAAAACACCTAAAAGAGTCATTCCTGTGAAACTTGGGTTAAATGTCATGTAAGCACAATTCCCAGGTGTCTGTCATTGTTAAGAGTTCACGACCCAAGCAAAGAGTTGGCAATGTGAGTAACAGAAGACAACAGTAGATTTTTTTCTCCGGGCTGTCAAAGTGAGGCCTGCAGGCCCACAGCAGGTTAAGAATGCATTTTCTTTATCAGCAGTTCATGTCATATCGCGAGTAGTGCATTTCTCACCCACTATTACAGCAGACTAGAGACTAGTCACACTCCCAAAGTTGGCTAAAGTTACTTTTAATAGTCACTTGATAATTGGAGCATTTAGAAATAATGTTTTATATTACAATGTCACCTACAGTGAGAGGTAGGTATTAGAGAAAATCAGTTTAGCTTGTACATGTTGGTTATTTTTTTTCCTGTGTAGCCAGCTGTAGCTACATTTACCTCTGAGCACACTGACCTCATTGCATACACGCTAGTAGAATTTCTTCCACCACATAAAAAAAACGAGCAAAACGTGTTTTTCCCCTGAGCGACATCTTTAAACATCTAAAAGATAGCTGTGGTACCAGCATCATTCTCCTCTTCAACACCCATGCTGTGTATCTGCTCTTAACCTGCACAAACTTCCTCAGATTTGAAGTGGAGCTGCTTGGTTGTAAAATAATGTGAATGTTTCCACAGTGCAATGACTGCCCTCTGTGCCAGCTTGCTAGGTGACCTTAACATACACTCTTACAAAGTCTACATCGTGAATGTGTTGGGGATTTCCTTTGGCCACAATAAAAGAACCATGCAGTTACATTTGCGATAGTTTGCTTGACAAAGTAGCTAACTGATTTGTAGAACTGCTAAATGAATGTTCAGCATTACTTGCTCCAACAAATAGTAATGCGAGAACTTGCCCTGCAAATGCCCTACTTTGAAATGTCTTCCCATCAACACAGATTACTGAAAAAGATAAAAAAAAAAAAGAGAGAGAGAAGAGAAACCATCATCATCTTAATAGAAACACTACTAACACTTACAAAATGTTTGACCCTTAATCATTTTCTGGCTCCATAAATTCGGTCATGTAGGTGGTTAATTAGGTTTTTAATATAATATCCACATTTTACTCTAGTTTTTAGTTTGAAAGTATTAGTGGCGATGTAGTCTGGGGTGGTAAATATCTGAAGATACCCGGTTAGTGTGAGTGTGTCATTAGGTGAACACTGAAGCTGTGCCCACAGTCACTTATTCATTACCAACAAAGAAGTTGGTTCAAAGTAGTAGTGACCGGGAAATGTGGACGGGAATTTTCTTTATTCTATAAATTGTGCAGAAAAAAGAATACATGTTAGAATAACAGTGTATTTGTATGTGTGAGTTATCACAATCATTAAAACATAATTACTGAAATCTGTCAACCCCCC